CCCAAAACCCCAAAACCCCAAAACCCCAAAACCCCAAAAGACAAATACCTAATTAATTAAAGTATAATTCTGGCTAAAAAAATGCAAAGAGATAATCTCAGAGAAGGGCTCATTAATGAAACCATTAATGACGATCGTGAAGGGTGAGCACTTGGAGGAGGCAGGTTCAGAGGAGATTGAGGGTTTGGGAGTGTCTATTGGGGTGTGATGAGGTGTGATAGGTTTTGGAGGGGGTTTTAGGGGTTGGAGAGGTAATTTAGATGGTGCTCATTGTTGTGATAGGAATAAGCATTTGGTGTTTACGGATGAGAATAGAGAGGAAGGTGAAGGGCAGAGTGAGTTGACACTTGAGGAATATGAAGAGATTCAGGAAAAAGAAGCCTTGGAAAAGGACGTTCAGGATGAATTAGAGGTTAAGAAATTCATTCAGCTTAAAGAAGGAGTCTCATGGTGGAATGCATCTAACATTTTCTTCACATACTTTATCAGTATTTCCCAGATAGTGTTCTTTGACTTATGACTAGTCTATCTTCTTAAGAGTGAGAGTCATTTTAATATTCCTACAAGTGACGTTGCAGGTCTATCTGCGAATATTGTTTTTTATTCACAACCATTTACACTTTTATTTGATATAATTCTTGGATACATGCATGATAAGTTAGGAAGAAAAGTAACTTTGCTGATCTCAAACCTTATCTGTGTCTTGGCGTTTGCAGTCCTCCCATTTGTGACCACTATTTATCCTGGACTCTTGTTAATAAGAATCATGCTGAATTTCTCGGTAAAAGGCCCACTATCAGCACCACTTCCTTCAGACTACATAGTATCATCAACCAGAGGGAAGGCGACCTCTCTATCAGGAATAGGGGCTGGATTTGGTGCTATTTTCTCTGTATTTGTCCTATTCACCATCACCAAGAAGACCAGCTTTACCTTCTCCTTCTATATCGCAGCAGGGGTTTATTTCCTAATCGCTGTTTACATGTTCATCACAGTTAAGGACGTCAAGAGAGAAATGAGAGAAGGATCTCAAGTCAGTGCTTTCTTCTCCTGGAGAAAACTTAAGAAAACTACCAAGACAGTCTGGAAGGTGTCAAGGACTTCAAGAGAGGTTAACCTTAGTTACTACGGATCCTTTATTACGAGGATGGGAGATATTCTCAGTATTTTGTTCATGAATATTTGGATTTCCTCCTTCTTTGGCAGCTCTGATGATGAGATCTCTAAAGCTAATAGTAGAGGACAGATGATTAGTGGAATTGGAGGAGTTCTAATTCTTATACTCAGCTTCTTTATTGGATGGGGAACAGATAAGATGAAATTTGTGTATACAATCAGCCTCTTTTATGGAATAAGAGCCTTGTTCTACTTCCTTATTTTATTTGCGAAAGATCCAAGCACAGTTCAAGCATTCCTATTTTTCCTTATAATATATACCTCGAATGGACTTTTGAACATTATTATCAACTCTTATTTTTACAAAATCATCAGGAAAGAGCACAAAGGAATACTAAATGGCATATTTCTCTTCTTTGGGACACTGGGAATCTTATTTATCTCCAAGATAGGAGCACTATTCTTCGACCATGTAATAATAAGCGGACCCTTCCTACTTGGAGCTATTTTTGATCTCTCTTTCGTAATTCTATTTTTCTTCTTCCACAAACCATCAAAAGAAGAGCACCAAGATGGCACGTCACATTAGATGAGATTAAGTTTTAATATCCTAATAAAACTTCAAAAGTAACAGAACAAAAAGGGGTTTTGGGGTTTTGGGGTTTTGGGGTTTTGGGG